GTGGAGATTGATTCTGACACGGAGTGGAGGAAGCTGCAGGTACTGTTTTTTTTAATGCCGCTTACTCTTCATGCAATAGTGAACTTTCTTGTAACCGTAGCAGAGTACGAATGCCTTAACCTTATATGGGTCTTCGTCCTTTAATTTTCACTGTAGATCTCCCCCGCTTCGCTACTGTAGCCACCGTTGTGTAGCAGCGGAACCTCAATATGAACAATCGCTTACCGATGTTAATGCTCACATAGATTTTTGTGTACACCAGTGGTCATGGTAGCTGAGGATTCATTGAGGTTCGACTTTCAGTTCACAGTTTCAACAGGACCGAACACATGTCCCTGTGTTTTCGAGGCCAGATCGATGCAGTGTCTCTATGCCCCTGTCTAGTTTCGGCAGCCTCCCTTAAGACTATTTTATGTGGAGCCAACGGCAAGCCAATTCAAGATCGTCAGCCTCGAATTGAACTTTGGGGCGAATATTTCAGCATCTAACCGATGACGATCACCTCTCAGTTTTTCTTCAGGCATCCACACCGCTTTTTGACTTACGAGTGCTTCACCACTGTCTGTGGCTAAGGTTTTTAGTCACTCCCACATATAGTAGGTGGCATCCGATCCTGGATTAGCCTGTCACTGCGGCTTCTATGAGACAGCCACAGCACTATGTGTGGCTTACGCTGCACCACTCACATGCCCTCATATCCAGTGTGATCCAAAGGTAATAAGACCTGGAGGCATGCAGATGGAAGTCACGATTAATTCGGAACCGACCTGCCTTCCTTCGGTAGGCACATTCTTCGTGAAATTTGGGGACACATACGTCTCAGACGTACACAGCACATTTGCTGGGCCGTAGCCCGCTCCGTAATAGATAGAGCCACACCGAACTTAACACGCATGAAGATTTTGCGCCTTGTTTACTGGTACATTCATCGACATCCTACTGGAATCAGTCGGTGAAGTGGCGGCATTCGACCGATAGGCATTTTATCAAACTTCCCATTACGCTCAGCAAACCTCATGCACACAAACTTGCGACAACGCAAGCACAGGCACATGTCGGCCGGTGGATCAAAGGATATGATGTCTGCTTTTTACTCCAAAGGTCACCGATTCGAATCTGCCTAGATGCGGGCGACTTCTTAGTATCCCTTACCAGTGCGCGGTTGGTGGTCACATGGTAAATTGCTGATGCCTTCAAGTGTACAGAGCAGCTATAGTGACGATGCACCCAACATGCCACATCTGCCGCATTATCTGCCTGTGTTAGCAAATGGAATACGAGACAGCGTAATTAGGCTGCGCTGACGCTTTCACACTCAACTCTCTTATGCATGGCCCTCGGTGTCACGTTGCATACTTACCTGACCAACTCGGCTGAGGCACACACGGCCGCATGTACTATGACCAGGTGTATGACGTCGACAGATAGGGCTCCATCGCCACTTAACGCTTGCGTAACCGTTTTCGTTCACATTGCAGTGATCCTTTCTCATTCACATGATCAAAGTGCTCCTTGATGTACGCACTATTGGTGGCGATTCAGTCGTTATTCCCCAAACGGTTGAGGGCTGTGATCGCGTTTCGGACCTCGGCTTCCGACGGAGGCTCTAAACTAACCGTCCATGGCACGTCCTGCATCACCTGAGTAGGAAGAGGTCCGGGAGCAGGGGGTCAGCTGAAATGAAGTTCAAAATGTTCAGCCCAACGAGCCATACGGCGCTCCTTATTGTGTATCAGTGCACCCGCGCTGTCTCTGATTGTCTCACTGACGCCAGCTTTTCTGGGACCAGTGGTGTGGATTCGCTGGAAGAGCTTGCGGTAATTGCCTACTGCACCTGCCTCCTCCATTTCTTGAGCCCGACTAGTCCACCAGGCTTCCTTGTCAGCATTAGGCTCCGCTTTCATCATCATCATCATCATCAACAGCAGTACATCAGCCATTTGAACTGATGCCTCGCTGCCATACAACCATGAGGACTTATGAAATATAAATAATAAGATGAGGGAGAGAAAGGGGGACTTACCTGAAAACCTTAATGCCCTAAGCAAACATTCAGGGTCAAGACGCCTACATCTTGTGGAGACAACATACCGTCACAAACAGCTGGCTATCGTGCAAAGATAAGGCGGCATCGGCGACAGCTTCCTTGCGGCTTTCACTGCCCCGCGTCATAATCAGCCATTACCCCGCAGATAACTCAGCACCAAACACACTTTAAACAGACAATCCGATTAGGAGACGGCAGCAGACGCGCCACTGGTGTCGGTTGCGAGCCATGTCCTGTAAAGTCTCAAGCCAAGCACAAGGTGAGTCACGTGGACTCCAGCCTGGAAGGCGAGACGGACCAACGGCACCCAGTTTAGTTGTCAGTAAAACTGTAAAACTAAATCACTGCCACACCGCTGCCTTGCGGACAGGCTTTTGAGCCAAAGGCTTTGGATGGGGACCCTAATCGTTCTCCTGTCTAGGTCTGGGCGCCCTGGCAATATCCCAGCCCACATACAACTATGACATTTTCAGGCTCCGCTTTAGTTCACGCCTAATAGCCAGCCTGGTCACATTGTGTTCAGAACCAGCCGGGAGGTGTCTTCTAGCTTCCAACAGGTTCACGGATCTCTCGGATATCCAGTGACTGGTGCGGTGACGACTGATAGTGCCACAAGCGAATGCTCCTGCGTCGTGCATGGCGGCCGAGATCCTATTCCACTGAAGTTCAGTGTCATTAGGACAAGGCAGCGAGAGTTCGGTATGCAATGCTTGGGACAATTTCTCCGTTGTCAATTGGGGGAGACGCTTTGTGCGCCTTCCGGTAAAGTTCATGGAAAAACGACAGCGCACCAAGGCATGATCAGAGTCGACACAGGTACTCCAGTATGAGCGGCAATCCAGAATGGAACCGCGCCACCTGTAACTTATGGCTATGTGGTCAATTTGGGTCCATCGCTGGCCAGCTACAGGTGGACGCCAAGTGGCAATTCGGCGCCCACTGTGTCTAAAAGCAGTGCTACTAAGAAACAACTGGTGCTCCGCACACAGTTGCAGCAGACGCTCACCGTTGTCAGTCCGTTCGGAGTTAAGTCCATATTTACCACCCAGCTGAGCTTCTGAAGAGCTCAGACGCCCTACTTGTGCGTTCATATCCCCTGCAAGTACCATAATATTTGAACTAGTAGCACTGCGTAGTAGGGCGTTTACTTCGTGATAGAATGTGTCCTTGACAACATCTGAACTGCAGTCGGTGGGAGCATAAACGGAAATCACAAACAAACAGCGTTTTGCACAACTTCGTGAATCAACCTTAACTGAGGTCGTCAAACGGGCTGCACATAAACGGCTGTTCACCGGAATCCAATCAACCAAGGATGGCTCAGCCTTGGAGCTGAGAATGATACCTACACCAGCTTGACCCATGCGTGCTGCATCGGTGTCTCCTGATGCGTGCAACCAATAACGAGAGGATAAGCCAGGTGCAGTCAATTCAATAACCCCGTTAGGGTCATTAATCCTAGTTTCGGACACACAACACACATCAATACCCAGTGTGTCCAAGGTGCGTGCGAGTGCAGCCTGCTGACCTGTTTGTCTTAGAGTGCGGACGTTGAATGTCGCCATGGAAACGGGACAGCGTGGCCTTATAAGGGACTTTTGCCGATAGGCGTCCTATAGGTGCTGTGGGATGGTGGCTGCAGATGATTCTACTCCATTAGCACTTCGGTTGCTGTCAATTAAGCTGGGAAATATAGAAGGAAGCTTAGTAATGGGGGGCGGGATGAGAGTAAGAGAAAAAGGTGGAAAAGCATGAAGGGAGGCGCCAGCAGTAGCATGCTTTCGCTTATCCGCCCTGCTGTATGCAGCAGATAAGGCAACCCTTGGTAATCTGCGCGACGGCCGATGCAGGATGAAGTTTATGTTTGAAGAAAATGTCATGGTTGTATGTGGGCTGGGATACTGCCAGGGCGCCCAGACCTAGACAGGAGGACGATAAGGGTCCTCATCCAAAGCCTTTGGCTCGAAAGCCTGTCCGCAAGGCAGCGGGGAGGTGGCAGTGATTTAGTTTTACAGAAATGGACGCCATCCCATTTCAAACCCCCAACCTGGAGGACCAGGAGACTGAATTTGTCTGACCTCTCACCATTGACCAACCTGGTAGGAGTAGCTCTCAAGATGCTCGGAGGCATCACCCAGTATAGCTCAATGGGTCAATGAGGTACGCAAACCGTCGCACCACGTTAAGGTCCAGTCTCGTTGCGACGGGCCAAGACACCCACCTTGATTTATTGCCTTCCAACTCAGCATCGTCATGAGTTCCCGGGTTGACGCCTCCTTTACCAATCTTAGCCGCTTCTACATCGCACGTCGAAGTCCAGTTACGGGGTTTTGATCATATTCTAGAACTCGTCTTGTCTTTGCTTCAAGCTCGGTCGAGGGATTAAAAATCCCTTTTGTTGCTTATTTTTTAATCTTCAACTCTTTGGGTGTTCACGTTTCTATCTAGTCCTTCTCATTTCCTTCCTCATTACGATCATTTCCCTCTGTGAAGATGATTGAGCCGATACACGTATGCCCGCCGCACTTCGGTGTTTCTTTCATCAGTCTCTCAGAATGGATGCCATGAATGAACGTCATTCAACTTGATCGGAATCCATTTCCTTACGTTTGTTTCGGAAGACTAAGTGTGAAGGCGGTGAGGAGATTGGCCTTTTACCGGCTCTAATGAAGTCGGTCTTAGTAACCATTTTGCTGTCGACTTGCAGTCTTGCGTGCTCCCCACTGTATACGCGCGCAGCATTGGGATCTCACTGAGGAATGTTGTTCGTGTTTTCCCACCACCTCTGTCTTGTTCATTTGCTTTCGACTACTTCTTCCTTGAACATTACCACCTTTAGTGCATTGCAAAGTGGAACACTTGTTACATTTAAAACAATCCAACTGCTTTGTTGAGACTCCGCTTTCTGGTCACATATGCAGACCTTCTAGTGCTACAACTCTACCACCTTTTAGGTTTATCTTCTCTGTTAGTTTTACCAATGTCTGTTCTGACCGGAGCCCGGTCTGGTTCATCATTAATCGGCCTACTTCGACGCTGTGACACGTATTTGTTCGACTGTGATGGTAACTTTCGTCAATCTTCACCTGCTTCTTCTACCAAGGCGTCCTCTGGACTGGTTCCAAACTTATTCCTGGTGCATCGCAGTTAGTTGAACATGTGCTACAAACTGGTCGAACTGTCTTCCTCATCAGCAATAATAGCTCAAAGTCTGTGGAACAATATGCGAAAAAGTGTGCTGACCTCGGACTGCCAGTGACAGCGGTATTCATTTAATAAACAATAATACAATTCACCTCTCGCAGGAAAACGTAATCTGTTCTGCCAATGTTACAGCGAGTTTTCTGCACACTCACGGAATTCTCGGTCCGGTCTATGTGATCGGAAGTGCAGGACTTGGTTTGGAACTGGACAAATTTGGTATCTCTCACTTTGGCATTGGCGTAAGTCATGTACCGAGCAAAGTAATCATTCCTTTTTTTCTTTTATCTCTAGACTGACAATCCAGAAGACGGAAACATCTTACAGAATGTTACTTGGAGAGATAACGTACCAATTGGTTATATTGCATTTGCGACTCCTTCCCCCTCGTCTTGTAGACCTCGGGCGTCTTGGTCGGATACGATACTCATTTTAATTACCGGAAACTTTTTCAGGCAACTACGTACCTCAGCAAAGGTTTGCCATTTTTTGCCACTAACGAGGATGCTCAACTTCCAGAGGGAGATGTTGTACTGCCGGGTTAGTCAACTTTACTGTTATTTTAGTCTGATTTGTCCACTCTAGCCAAAAAGCCAAAGTAGTGTTCGCACAGCAAGTACCGGGACTCAGAGACGTGGCTAAAATTTGCCAAGTCATGTGCACACATAAGCTGGGCTTTTCCGGTTTCCCACTTAGCTAAAAGTCGACCCGGATCACGTGGCGCTCTGCTGCAATGCGGATTTCTTCCTCCCTACTCAGATACTTTTCATAGCTATACGTGCGTAGCGATTCTCACCTGTTGCTCAGCACATTGGACCGAAGGCTCCGATTGAAATTCGCTGAATTAATTCCACGTATCCCGCTGCCTTTGAGGCCCATGGAGGTTTTTGAGGCCTCTTTACTAAGAGCGCCTACAGCTAGCGTGGTGTGGCGAATATGGACAATCTGGATTCAGAGTTTAGATCCGTCCCCTCGCTTGCTCTCTTTCATTAGTTCGTCTAACTGTGTTCACCAAACAAGGCGATATACACAGGGAGCTAGAAGGACTAAAGTCAATCAAAACTGGTGGTTTGGATGCTTTCTCACCAGCAGTCTTGAAGCAGTGAGCTGATTTTCATATTACTTTTAACAGATCTCTTTTACTACTGCCTCACTGTGTGTGACTCAAGACCTTTAGAGGTAGGCCAAAATACCTCCGTTATCCCAAAACGGGTTTCATAAATCTCCTCCGATTGCGTCTACATCCTTGCTGCTGAAAGTTTTCTAAAAACTGCATATTACTCGGAATTTCACAACACACCTGACGATATCTGTCAGTACAAATATGGACCCCAGCGCTCTATATTGGATGCAGTAACACCTTGTTCATTCCGTATCGTCTGCCTTCGATCAGAGACGTAAATACGTACAGCTTCTTTTCCTTGATCCTTCAAATACCTTCGGAAGCCTGGATAAGTCCGTGTTGCTCAAACTTTTTTCCTATAACGGAGTTCACTACGATTTGTGTAATCGCCTACGTGACTGTTTTACAGATCGTACTCACTTCACCTAGATAAATGGTAAGTAATCCTCTGTCCTCCGTCCCAACTGTGGTATTCTGCAAGGAACCATCCCATCATCTATTCTCCTTAGATGTCGAACATCTCCGTATACAGTCCACCTTTTCTGGATGCAAAGATGCTGCGGATGTTGTGCTGGGGTTTAATGCCTTCACCATTAAGGCTTCTTCATTGCTTCAAAGTTGAATGAAAGATCTGGCGGAGTTGTAACCATTCAGATCCCTTACTCTTAATGCTTCCAAACGCTGTGATGTGACAGTTTTCTTCTTAGTAAAAGTTGCGGTCTCTCATAGCTATCTCCCCCACCGTCATTATAAGCGAATATCCCATGCCCAGACCATCCGCCGTCAAGTATCATGGTATCTTTCTGTTCCAAACCTCTCGGTCCACGGACGTTCGTGAAACCTTTCATTAAGTCAAAAAAACTTTGTCCTTATGTTCTCAAGCTTAGGATTCTTTCATTACCTCGTAGTTGAATATTTCTGTTACTGTGTTCATGAATATTCCCCATTGGTTACACTGCTCTCTCGTCATATTCCTTGGATTGCTTCCGTAATGCTTTATCTTATTGGTGCGATTGTTGCAGCACATCTCTGGACTTGACTAGTTCTAGACATCTTGACGCCTGGAATATTTTTTCTTTTAAGGTCCTAAATGACCGATTTCGTCTACTACACTGTGACCTTCCAAAACGCTCTCTTTCTTTATGCATTCAGAATTTAAACTTTTTCTTATTTCCTAACACTCCATCGTATCGTACTACCATCTTATCTGTCACGTTTCCTTGTTGGCCCAACGAAAGTACTAAACATGTGCTGCGCAGGCGGTTGTTAGAGTTGTGTATATGTTTCAGCCTCTTCTTCCCTGTGTGAATGTTTTATTGGTTTCCTCCTCTAGTACACTCACTGTGGTTGTGTAAATGAAAATGTACTCATGATAAGGAGATTTTTGATCTACTTACTTAAGGGTTCGTCGCAGCCAGATCCACATGCCCAGAAAAGCATAAGACTGCAGTTTTAGCCTGTTGGGCATCCCCAATTAGCTTGTAAATCAAAACGGTCCGAAGCTGTCCCCCTTGGACCAGTGGCATAAGCTGCTGACTGGCGGTTCAAGCTGCTGGTGGTCATGGGTTCGAATCCTAATGGATCCGATGGATGCGCACTACTGATGATGCCCAACAGGCTGAAACTGCAGTCTAGTGATTTTCCGGGCATGTGGACAATTATCTGATTTGGAACTGACTGCGACGAACTCTCACTTAATTAAATGCAAATGAACCCGTTTGCGTTCATGAAACTTTTTTGAGTTTACTTAAATGCTAGGCTAGTAAAGCTTACATCAATCCTATCTTTTCTCTATTCGTAAATTATACCCATGGAGTGGTAAATACAGTGTTGAAGTACAAGCGGAACTTGACTAGCTACATATATTCCAGCATCATCAAGATTTGCACTCCGGAGACACTTGCAGAGGAAAGGGTTTGTGGTCGGTTCCACTGATCGTACGGATAACCTGCTGCTATTCGCGATCTGACCGGCCGACTTCCCAGATCGGAAGACAAAGGCTTCGGAAAATAACTCTATTGAGTACCCGGCAAACAATATGTACAAACAAATACTAAGGTCAAATAAATAGTTCATACAAGAAACTCCTGGACTTCAGCAACTATTAGATGCCCGATAATACACTTGTTGGTTACCGAAATAATACGCTCACTGACAACCTGCAAGATAGATCACTCTCATTGGTAGCCTTCACGGTGGAATGTCATCATTGGCCCCCTCTCGTTGGCTGGACAATACACTCCAAGGTCTCGAACGGCTCCGGGCTGCTAGCGAGAGGGACCGGCTCCGAAAGTTGCTATGAACAGGCTTCCTTAACAGCAAAACGCTGCTTTCGAATGACTGCCTTGCCTTATTCATTAAAAAGCACGCTTCGACCTGCGATCATCTTAAGCTTGAAGTTGCAGTTTCTGTCGGTTTCTTTCCGCCTCAGTAACCGACCCTCACGATCTTGCGGAGGCGACTCTATCTGTTGCTCAACGTTTTAGGCACAAGCCACTGGTCAAGTCCGAGTCGGACATTGTGTATCATTTCGATTTTACCTTTGGCGTCGAGTACCTCGGGTATACGATCAAGCGTCTGTCAATACGAATACCTAAACACTGCCCATGGTCACTGCGTCAAGGCATGGTCAGAAGCATAAACACTTCATCTTAAAACGTATGGTTCAAAATGAGCACCAGGTTCTGAATAAGGACACTTTCAAGATCTACTATAACGTACCAAGGCGACGCCCGAAAGGACTAATAAACGCCGCAAGAGCACTGGATCGATTGCGGTCAGGATACCACGGCCAGCGCTATGTAAGCAGAGGGTGATTGCGAAACCCCTCGCCTTGCTGTGGCCCTAACAAGTAATCATTCCTATAGTGCAATTGGCCGATTGGAATCGTCTCTAGTACTTGGTGGTGTTTTTCTGCTATTCCAGCTTGATTGGTGTGTCCGGATGTGTTTCCATGAGTCATGTTAGCTCGTTTAGTGCACATTTAGCTTCAACCTGGACACAATAGGGTACGGCAAAACTGTGTGTTGGTTCCATTTTAACTCATTGAGACACGGTCATGGGTAAGGCTTTGGCAGCTGAAGCTCTATCTTGGGAGGCGAACAGTTTATCTGCTCTCAGGTTCACTGGCTTGAACTTTGGACGAAGCACCTCGAACGTTAGTTCAGCAAGCATAGGTCTCAATAATTTCTCGAATCACGTGCTGCCGCTTGGCATAATGAATTTTCATCTCCTAGCTTCGAAATGGTCCGACCCTGACTGAATTTGCTGAAGGGTCACGGCACTTGGACCCGATGGTCTCCTTGGTAGATGAACCATTACCTAATTGTTGGCCTGATAGCCCCAATCTACAACATATTATGAACCAGTAAGGTGGCTTCAGACTTGGGGTTTCGACCGCCATCATCATGACTTTCCGCACAACCTCGTGTTGTCGCTTGAGTGAATCTGGACTTTCCCCTTCTAGCGAATGGTTCGGCGGCGGTGTTACAGAACGTGGTGAGTTTCCAACTAGCAGACATTCTCCCTCTAAAAATTCACAAATGTCTGCTTAGCAGTACTCTGATGTAACGAATTGGACTCGCCAGTAGATAAAGTCGCCGCCTCAAACTTGAAACTGGGGAACTCCAGCTCAGGCTATCTTCACCTGATGAGTCCAAACTAGGACGAAACCGCGGTCGTGGTGTTCCAGTGTTGGGAGGAGCAACACCGAAACATTTCCAAAGTCGCTGTCTCGCGTTGCTGGCGCATTGTAACCCATCAGCCGCATTCTGAAGTTGTGGGCAGGTTTGGGCCCCTGTCCGGTAATCGACTAGATTACGGGTCACCAACCTTTTTTCTAGGCGGGCCGGATTGGATTTTGCACAATACTCAAAAGCCAAAACATAGATACTTAACGAAACTACTGCAAACTGTGTTACACATTCCGTCGTAAATGAACAATGATTTATCACGGGATAAAAACAAGTGCTTGACACGTCCCGTAGGATGTTTGAGGTGAATATGATGAAATCAAAATATATCTGAGTCATCTACCGAAC